CAGAGTTATGCAGGATATTCAGTTGCAACAGGTCCTATGAAAAGGCATGTGTGTATATGTTAAGAAAACATTTTTAGGTCTTGTAATATAACATTAAAAATGCTTTCAAATTATATGGAACAAATCAACCCTTATTTACAGTGAATGCAATTTGGAATAAATCTTCCACCTTTAGCAACAGTTCATATATTTGTCTGTTTCAGCAGCATAAAAACGTGCTGAAAAAATAATTGAATTTTAAAACACATTCTTGTGCGCTGTTTGGCAATACAAAATATTGTGAATTACTGAGTATTACCAAAAAGAGGCAGGCAGAAAATTCTTTACACACACACGCACACACAGACACAACTCATTATGCTATAAAATGGCTAATAGAAAGTTTTAATAACAGCTTTTATCTAAAATATAGTGAGAATATATGCATATTTATATATTTAGCCACACCTTGATATAATATAGAATTGCTGGGTGCGTCCACATGAGACACTACTGCAAATTTATTTAGTACTTGTATAAGCAGGTACTAAATAAATGTGTGGTAACTGGAGATACTGTGCAGTAGTGCTGGTGAATGTCTTTTAAGTGACGCTACTTCGCAGTAGCATCTCAGCATGTTTTTTGCCATGCAACCCTACTGTGTAGTAGTATCAGGCTACTGCAGAGTCAGTGTCTCATGTAGATGTGCCCGCTATATACTTATATATACAGGTTCTATATATAAATGTGTAAAGGTAGTTCCAAAACGTTACAGATTGTTTTTGTGGAATCTGTGCTAAGTATTCTGACTGCTAAATGGCTGATTCCACTTTTTAAATGTATTTTATATAAAAAGTGTAATATTATGCCATATTGTATTGTACAGAGACAATATTTTATGCAGGGTTCAAGGCAAATCCACACATCCTACTCCTCTTGACGTTTGTACCTGTTTGTATCTTAGATGCTAAATTCTTCTTCTTCCTTATCATAAAATGTGGTTTGATCGTTCTACTAAAACCTTTCAGCAGGGTTTTCTGAGCAATTACCTGCTGATTTCAAAATTGCCTTGTTTACAGACAACCCCTATGAAGGCTATTAATTCAAACAAACAAATAAACACCACCCTGCTGGAGTAGTTGGTTTTGGTATGAAGTACAATGTACTTTTAACTGTATATTTGTGGATAAACCACTCTATGATTATCAGAAATATTTAAATAAATTCTCCAAGATGAACAAAAGCACACAGATAGTGCAGTCAAGAAATCAGATTATTCATAAAAGTAAGAAAACTGCCTGTTTATGAAGAAACTGCTTTCTGATTGGCTGAAGTACACTGTGTTTGAACCAACTGGAATGTACAATGGCGCAGTGAGCAACTGACACTGATGTAAAAATAAACATCTTGGCTTTCCCTCTATATTTATTCTTGATAAATGCCTCCGCTTTGCCTCTGCAGTTATAAGAGTAGCATGCCAAAATTAGATGGCAATAGCGTTCTACCACACTGGTTAGTTATATTTTAAATATACCACTATTAATGCTGATATCCAAAGGTGCCATTGAAAATATTGAATTCTCAGACTGGTTTTACCCACCCATGTCCTACAGTGTCAATGTAATATCAGAAGTGACTGATATATTAGCTTTCTTTACAGTTTTCATGGTACCCATTGGTATTAGACACATGCAAACCAAATTCAAATACAGTGACAAATAAATATAGGCAATGATTTGCAGCACTAAAGACGGTGAACATAATATTGTCTCTGTTGTAGACAGCTGAATTTAAAATTATATTTGACTAAACAACACACTAGAGATACAACCAAAAGCAGGAAAAACAGTGGATTAAAAGCAATGCAGAACTCTAAAACTCTTGGTTCAGAGATGATACCTTTTATTAGATCAACTAAGAAATCACAAACAAATTATCTTTCTTTGCAAGGTTTTGGGCGCACACATCCTTCTTCAGGATTAGGGAAAAGTAAAGATGATAAAAGCCCCCTTAGGTAGAAAATAAAGTTCATTTTGCAGGGAGGAAGCTGAAGGTGGATGTCTGTTCCTCTGGGTTCCTTTGTGTAAATTGCTCTTTAATGTGCAGATTTTTCCCTGGTGGTGGTAGATGGCAGAAAGGCAGGGAGGTGTAGACATTTTGATTCTTGTTTAGCAATGAAGTTTATAATTCCAAAATTGGCTAAGATATGGTACCTTCTATGTTTCAGGGTTGTATTTAGTAGCCATGTTGGCTACCAAATAAATCCCTAAAACGTGGATTAAAAGATACATTTATTGAGGCCTGATCCTACTAATACACACTGCTCCTAATACACACCTTTGTATTACTCACATGAGTAATTTTTTTGCCTTCTATATAAGCATGTTTCTAAGATCAGGTCATTAAATAATCTATCAAAATCTCCCTCTATTTCAAGTCCTGACGTTGGATTTATTCTCAGCTAACATGGCACCATAAATTAATTCCAGATACACTATTACAAACAATGGTCATGAAGAAATACAACATGCTTAAAGTATCAATAATATATTTAGCTGTTGGGTGAAAGCACAGCTGAACATAAATTAAACTGATAACGTTTATAATATATAATTGTGAGCCAGACACTTTCACTTACTAATTCAAGTACGGAGCATGTGTCAACAACAGTAATGCATATTTTAAAGATTTCTTCCTCAAAAAGAAGCTTTCTCAGACCTGGGAAATGTTTCAGGAAAGACAGGGAGAAGTGGCTTCTAAATGAAAATGTAGAGTTTAACAGTTCCCATTGTGATTTGTGTGACATGGACCTTATAATCAGATGTTCTCCTTTCAGGGTGTTTCTGAGGCAATCATTAAGCCAATTGCTGACTGTTGCTTTTAGACTTAATTTTGCATGATGCGAACATAGGGACTAATATATAAATGTGCTAATGGGCTAGTGGATTACTTGGTAATATGACCCAAAATATTTCAAAATTAAAAATAAATTAAGAGCCTACTTATTCATTGAAATCAGTGAGGTAACCTGCATGTGTATCAACATAAAACTGACTTTCAAATTCAAAAAAAGAAAAATTCAGCTACTTGAAGACTGAATGGATATTCCAGCAGAAAGGGTTAACTAGTTAACGAGTTAATTTAAACAACACACACACGCAATTCGCCAAATGTTTAATTAGAAATGGTATCCTTGTGACAAGTAATAACCAGTCCCCAATAAGCATAGGGTTAACTCTGTAATATGGCAAGGTTTCTAATCAGGTTCTGAGTTCTCTGTTGAACTGGGAAGAATTGGGTTTTTTTTTTAAATTATTATTGTTTTTGCTTATGGAAACCTTTCCTGATGTGTGGTTACAAATATTTGCTCCAGCTATTTTGTGCTGAGATGCCCTACTAAATAACAATATAAAAGACTTTAGATGCTAGCTGTCTTTGTAATGTGAGCTTGTACAATTGTTTGGTATTTCAAAAACACTGTATGATATATTTAATGTATGTAGTACCTTTATCTAAAAACAATGGTCCTTAACCTGAACTGGTTCATGGACAACAATGCTGAGCCAGTAGTGCACTATGGGCAACTTAATCTTTTGCTCTCCACCTCAGCCCAAAGAAACATGTATCAGAGGGAAGCAAAATTGCCAGTGGCTAGAACCAATGTTGGAGTGTTAACCACAAGCCACTGGTTAAGGATTGAAAAGATGCCAATATACTGTATAAGCTATATATGTTCCATATCACCTGTGGAAATCAAGACAACAACCAGCCAGAATACAGAATATGGAAATATGGAGAGGAAATATTGGCCAGTAACAATGTGGAAAGCAGGCAGAGACAGAAGTCATGTTTGTAACATGGTTGACCTGTTGAAAGTGCTCTACAGGCATGTCCTGACAGAAGTGCACAGCTGCAGAGTGTTTTTAAAGGGCCTGATCCTGTGACAATCTGAACCCTCATTATAGAAAGGGACCATCTTCATTAACTTCTGTCAGCACACACCAGGAACAGGGCTGGGCTGATACAGCCCAGCCCTGCTCCTGGTGCTGTCTTCAGAATGGAATTGAGGGAAGGGAGCAGAGGGAGCTCTGTCTGGGGTTTACCCAAATGGCTCCAGTCCACCTGACCCAACCTCCCGTGCCCCAGACCAAGGTCCCTGCTTTCCCTTCCTCTCTCCCATTCTGAAGACTGCCAGAGCTGGGAGGGGAGAAGGGTGAGGTTAGGAGAGAGTGGCTGCAGATTCATAGATGCTCCAAATTGCAGCTGGATCCCCCAACCCTCGGGACCCAAGAGCAAACGTCTGTTGGATCTGGGGGATCACTGTATCTCGGGCAGGCAAAATGTGGCCTGTGGGCCAGATGCGGCCCGCCAGGCCATTCTATCTGGCCCATGGGGCCCCTAAAAAATTTAGAAAATTAATATTTATCTGCCCCTGGCTGCCTGCCATGTGGCCCTCAATGGCATGCCAAAACTCAGTAAGCAGCCCTCCACCTGAAATAATTGCCCGCCCCTGCTATAACACATAGTGCTTCCTGTAAAGCACCATGAGTTACATTGGGAAGCTGAACTTGTGTCTGTGCCCAGTATGGTGCCCAGCTCTTTTGATTCTTCAGATGTATTGTATGTATTCTCAGTCTTAGGACAGAAGAACAAAGTGGTTCTGCTTCAAATGTAACATTCACTGGCATTGTTGCCACATCTGACCCATCATACCCTGAAGTTTACTTTGCCATAATTGGAAATCTGTATGAATTTTAGCTCTGTGCATTCAGCCCTAATACTCGGGATGTTGGTGTCACAGGGCAGTAAGATGTACCTGCTCATTTAAGGGCAGAAGCAGCCTAGCTAGGGAGCCCTGAAGGCTAGGCAGAGCTCCACAGCTGCAGGTTGCCTGAGCAATAGGCTAACAAGGTAATTAGCTGGCACCTGAAGGCAGTCAGCTGACTGGAAGGAGGCAGGGCCCTGGGAACATATAAGCTCAGGGCTGGGGCTACTATAGGCTATTGTCTCTCTCTGGTGATTACAAAAGGAAGGAGCCCCTGCCCAAGTCAACTACCTGGAGATGTTTGGTTGCCTGCTTTGCTGCCTACAAAAGCAGTAAGGCTGTAGGAATCCACAAGGTACCCAGGGCTAGGAGGCATGCTGTCTGAGGGGTGGAAGGCTATCTTCCTAAAGGGGCAGAATGTGGTCTTCATTGTTATTGAACGGTTACAGCCTAGGGGCTTCTGTTTGTGGTGGTGTTTGTACTGGAGGTTTGGGATGAAGCTGTAAATGGAAGTATGGAGGCCCCATTAGTGCCCAGCGGGGTGCAACTGGACTGGTGACAACGGGGCCCGGTGCCAGAGGGGTGCAGCTATAGAAGTTCCAAGGCCAGAGGGGCACAACTACTTGAGAGGCCAAGGGCCCAGCAGACAGAGGCCAGAGGGCACAGCTGCACAGGGTCCAAAGGCCTGGTGCCAGACAGGCGCAGTCAGACGGGGGCCGGGGGCCTGGTGACTGGAACAAACTGATTGGAGCCAGTGCCTCAGAGCCAGGTCTGACACAGCGGGCTTGGGCTAGAAGACCTAGCCAGATTAAAGGATGGAGGCCAAGCAAGCAGAGGGAGCAACGTCTGTGTAACACTGAGGAGGCATGAGGTGTGGTGTAAGGGAGGTTTAGGAGCCAAGCAATTGGCCCATAAGGCTGGAGGTGTCCCGTGTGGTGCAGTACTGGAGAGAGGTCTGGTGAAGGGCTCAAGGACCAGTGAGTTCTAGTGAGGTTTAGCGGACTAAGGCCACACACAGGCCTGTGGGCAGCCTCCTGATTTTATTTTATCAACAAGACATGGCAGGCACATGCACCCCCTGAGAGCACTGGTGCAACCCCTGATTGGCCGTGCTCACTGTTTAGGTGATAGGCAGGCAGGGGCAGGTGGGAGCGCTGGTGTCTCCCTTGGAAGCACCAGCTGGGGAGTGGAGTGCCGTTGCGCTCCCGAAAGTGGCTGCAGCGATCGGCCGTCTCAAA